CTTCAAAGGGGAGGAAGGCAATTCACATTGAGACAGAAAGTAAATGTTTGATTAAAAAAAATGTTTGCTGGGTCGTGCAGAGACGATGGGACAGAGGGGAATTTTAAGACTTTGTTAGCCCCCTCCCTTCCTACCACACCTAGTTCGTACTATACTATCTGCAGTGACAGCTCCAATCCAGGAACAGGTCCTCTGTCTACATTCTTTTAGGCAGTTACAGGGAAGATCCGTTTATTCCTGAGTCTTTGAGATTAATTGTTGTCACCTAGAAATAGTACACAAGCCAAAGAGTCAGTTTGGGGTGGCAAATCTTACTCTTCTAGAGTCCTGCCTTTGAAACGTCTTTTGAGAAGTTTCACAGTCCACAAGTTGAGTTGATAGATTGCTTTATCTCTTCAAGCCACTTTTAGTTCTGACAATAGGTCAGATCACGTACTTATTTCAGGAGAGCAATCAAGTATTTAATCAGATGCATTTTTACTTCTGGAGAGCAATCAAGAAATAGATGCATTTCTAGAGACAAAAGAAAAACAAAGGTTAATAGTTGAAGCACATTGCAAACCCAGTGTCCGAGTCCGGAGAGTTGCCAGTTGAGATTTCTACATGTTACTTAGGGTTGAAGCGTCTTTTGTAGGTTGAGATGTCTCTCGTGATGTCATCAGGTGTTCAGGTAATGTTCTGAATGTTTACAGAGTGACAGGCACAGCGAGGGTCAAACACGGGCTATTGTGGTGAGCTCCCTTGCGTTTATATCAGGCTGTTCAGCTTCAGTTTGTAGGGCCTCAGGGAAAGGGCAGCTTTAGTTCTCAATGATTCTGAGTGAAAAGTGGGAGAAAAATTGTTACTGTTCGTTTGAAGAAACAAGAAGAATTCAGGACTCAGTCTAGTTTTCAGGTGAAAGAACAAAACCTCAAAGCTGATGAACAGAACTTTGAATCTCATATTCATAACTGTGTGTTACAGTTTCTACTGAAACACAATATTTTTCCTCTCTAAAATCAGCCTCATTTCTACTAAAGAAAGCCAAATTAAAACGAATTTGTTTGCAAAGTAAGTTTAGTTTCATTAATATCGCCAGATTATGTACGTAAGTCCAGGAAGAATAGCCATTGACCACATAGGCTCTTTTAAACCCTCTGCTGGAACTTCCCATAAGGAATCTCCAGACTGAATTTTTAATAGCCTTTCAAGGCCAGTAAGCCAGGCCACGGATTTACCATCAGACCTGTGTGTAGTAGTATCCATAGATTTGGATGAATTTCTCTCTTCTTGAGATTCCAACCCCCAAATATCCTGAGGTTCTTGCATCTGCCAGGAAGTGACCTTCCTTACTCACCTAAAGCTGCTGGGAACCTGTAAAGCAAGGTACCTGATTTTCTAAGAGAATTTGTGTCTCCATAAAGTCAATGTTAGTTCCTTAAAGCTGTCTGGTCATATCTCATTTGATGCATATTCTCAAATATGACATTCTAGTCAAAGCCTTGGTAATATAACGAACATCTCCAATTGTGTCCTTTCACAAGGAGAACAGATTATTAATGAATTTATGTACATTGCTATATTGACATAAAAATAAGAATACTCAGTAAGACTTTCCAAATTCTGGAGGGATCAGGTAGGGAGAACAAAGATAAATGTTTCAATTCTGCTTACAAAAGTGTAATTTACCAAATTGCTGTATGTCACTACGTAAGAGGAAAAGTTTCCTTCATATCTGGAAAATAAAGACTAAAAAGCCAGTAATATTTCAAACAAAAGTCATAAAAATTATAATCATCTTCATCAGTTCATTCAGTCATTGATGTAACTAATTCTTGTTGCTCTTGACCTTTTGTTACCCATTTTAGGAAGCCATCAGTTTTTACATTTCAGTTCTCTAATTTGTTACCTAGTTCGGTGGCATGGCCTGAAAGTTATCAGAACCTACCTTTCTCCTACATCACTTCTACAAAAGTCCTGAAGGAGAAAAATGTCAGCTATGCCCATCAACAATTACAGTGCAAAAAAAGAAATCAGACTTTTCTAGCAACTTGTTAGGAGCAAAGAAAAGTGCCTTTGTTGCTGGTGGATCCAACCCAAAGAATTCAGGGACAAGACTTAGAGGTTGAGAAAAGTAAAGTAAGGATTTATTAAAGAATAGACAGTTGACTCTCAAGGGGAGAGTGGGCAGGCTCAGGTGAGTGGCTGCCCACAGTTTCTTCGGCAAGTTGGTTACATAGGAAGTAAAAATGAATGGGCGGAATATTTACTGGGGAGGGAAGAGCCTGATTATCATCCCAACTCCACCTTTCCAAAGGGAGGAGGGATTTTTGTCCTTATTTAGTCTGGATTGGAAGTGTCATGGCATCGGTGCATGATGGGTACTTCTGATCTGCAAGGCTAATTTTTTTGAAATGAAGGCATAATGAGCAAAAGGTTACATTTGGACGCTGGAAATTCCTGCCTTTCCTGACGTTTCTTTGTTGGTCTCCAGGCCAAAAGGTGTGGCCCCTCATCAGCCCAAAGATTCCTGCTTTTCTTTCTCTGCCCAGGAACCCCTGGTGCTTACATGATGTATGTTTTCCTGCATTTGGCCTGTGACGCTACTTTCTGCCTAATTCCTGCCATTTGCTCTGTGTCCTCCTTTCTCTGCTCATATCTAGCTATCTGCCTGCTCTAACACCTTAACTAAGGTCAGCATGGCTTCAGACAACGCAGTGTAGTTGGGGGTATTACCAGAGATGCGCTATACTCTTCATAGTCCCCTGGGCAGACAGCTTTGCTCTGGCTGCGAAACTGCTTTCAGTCAGATACAGGGAATCCGTTAGTGGATGCTAAAGACTTCTTCTAGGCTGAAATGGCTGAATGAAGAAGGTGTCCTGTTTTGGGGGGCCACCATCTTATAAACCTTTTTTTATCACTTTTAAAGAAAAAGTCTGGGATAAACATGATAGATAGCAGGGGGAAGCAGGGAGGGTGACATTTGTTGAAAACCTACCATCAGTTATGGTGCGAGGCACTTTCGTGGTTAATACTGATTTGAACCCACAACATTCCGGTGCGGTAGGGGAAAAGCCCAGTTACAGAAGAAGAAACTGACAATTACAGAAATTTGGAGGCTTGTTCAGGGAAAGGAAAACGAAAGAACCCAATCCCATCAGTTCGGATGTTGTACCTGGTTAAGCAGCACGTGAAGCAGCCAGGACCAGAAATGCTCCCCAAGTGTGACCAGTTAGAAATTAGCCAGAATCTGGCAGGAAGGTAATCAACACGGAAGGAAAAGCAGCAGCTAAAGGCACTTGCTGCCGAAATTGAGCAGTTCCTGGAAAGAGGCTGGTAAGCAGAGTTTTTCAGGGAACACTTCGGGACACGTTCAGCTGCTCCCTCCCACCCCAGGCCGACTTCGTCCCGGAGCAACAGAATGGAAGCTGCCCGCCAA